AGCTTTGTTCATTACGCTTCTTAGCCTGTATTGGATTATCGGTGGATTTAAAACAAATAATATCCAATCTATAATTTTCCAGAAAGTTTCATAGTTAAAAAAAAAATTCATAACAAATAATACTTGATCTGAATTTGATTTTGTTGATGTATTGTAAGGCACATATATCCATCATCAGCCGGAAGGAAATCTTAGGGGTTATGAACTTTTTTATTACATTACTTTTGGGGCCGGGGGCCCCGAATTAGTTTTGGTTTTCTTAAATTAGCTATATAGAAATAATTAGAAACAAATACTCCTGCATGAACAGATGGATATTGACCAAACTTTGTACACATACACTTGATTATCCATACTCAAATACCGAAGGGTACTGAACTCATAATGTCCATTATTTTGGGGCCTGGGGCCCCATTTCATTTTTATTTATTTAAGCTATATAAATATCAATAGGCTTAATACTCCTACATGAATGGATGGATCTTGATCAAACTTATTACACATACACATGATCATCCATAGTCAAATACTGAGCTCATAAAATCATTTCTGTTGGGTCCGGAAGCTCAGTTCATTTTTTCTTATGTAAGTCATATGAATATCAATAGGGTTAGAAGACAGTGTATCTTCTTTGTGAATTAATGGATTCAAGCCTAGCTTTGTTCATTAGGCTTCTTAGTCGGTATTGAAATATCGGTGGATTTAAAACAAAAAATATCCAATCTAGAATTTTCCAGAAGGTTCGATAATTTTAAAAAGCTATATCTTTGGCATTTTTAAGTATATTTTAATGGGACAAATTTTACATTTTAACACTATTATTTATCCGCCTGATATTTATAGGGCCCCTATCTCAGACAATACTAAATCGGTATAGTTATGGAATGGGCTCCCCATGGCCCCATGATTAACTTAGAAGAAAAAGGATTGTAATTATGGTATTTGTTGAAGATTTTTATCGCATTCAAAAAATAATTAGAAAAATAATTTTTACACATGATTCGAGCAGGTTATTAAATTAAATCTAGAATATTCCAGAAAGTGCGAAATTGTTACAAGGAGATAAATAGTGGGATCAAAGGTATCATTAAAATGTTAGTTAGTTCTATTCATTTTTATACTGCCCCGGAGTTTACTGTTCTCTCAGTACCACTGAAGAATTTTTCCATACGGGATCCCAAATGGGTCGGTATCCCATAATAATCTTTATCCCAACGGGGTCAGGATCCAACAAGAAAACGTGACCCCACCGAGATCAGGATCCTAACCTTGAATGGATCTACCGGGATCGGGATCACCTCGTAAACGGGAAGGCGCCGAGATTGGTATCAGAATGGGATCGGGGTCCCAATGGGATCGGGCTCCAAATGCAATCCCGTGCAGCGCGGGTATATTGGCTAATATATATATATATATATATATGGAAAGGAATGTATAAAGTAGCACAGTCAATCCAACCAGATTGACTACAAAGGGAGCACAGCAGTTATTAAAAGAAGAGTCCAATTTTTCAAGAGTTATTTTCCTTGTCCATGAAGATTAAGCGTGTTACTTTAAAATAATTACAAAATTCGACATGAATCGTTTTCTGACTCATTGACACATAAAGACACAAACAATGATGGCAGACCTTAAAGCTGAACAGGGCGATATTTTTTTTCAACCCGGTATGGGCCAGGGTATTTTGATATTAGACCCGGCGGTTTCAATGCCAGGTCCGAGTTTTACCCCAAAAAATATTTTTTTTCTTTTTATTTCTCTTTACTGCGTTTCAGCCAAAAATGAGAAAGGAATATCGTTTGGATGGAAAATGTAGCGACCACAAAGTTAAAGCGTACATCACAATAATAGCTTTTTATTATACTATTCAAGCGGTTCTCAACATTGCACTGCCTCGACCACTTATAGTTATTCCGAAATTGTGACGGCCCACAAACATCGAGTATCACACTTTGACATTGAGATAAAGTTGTTCATAGGGCAGAGGGGATTTTGTTTTACTAACTCAAAGACGTGGTTAAGGTCTGGCTGGGGCGCTTTCACCTATAAAGATTAATCCACCCCCACCCCCCCCCTTTCCAACAACCCAAAAGATGAAACAAGCGGAAAAAACAAACACAAAGTTTAATAAAAATAAAATAATTTCAAATAACCTGTTAAAAAAAAAAAAAAAGAAAAATAACAAAAAAGAAAACAAAAAAAAAAAAATAAAAAACAAACACAAAATTTAAAAAAAAAAAAATAATTTCAAAAAACCTGTTAAAAAAAAAAAAATGGAAAAATAACAGGAAAGACAACAAAAAAAAAAGAATTATAATTTTGTTCTTACAAAATAAAATTGAAAAGTCAATAACTATAGTTTTAAATTAAAAAAAAAAAATTAGCAGCTGACATTTACCGAATAAATAATCGTCACTAACGTGATACACCTTCATTATAGTCAGAGTGTAGTACAAAAAAAAAAAAGAAAATAGTCTGATCATTGTAAATACTAGTTAAATTTTAAAACTCAATTTCAATTACAAATGATTTTAAAAATTGTAACATTATTTTTAAAAAAATAAAAATATTTTATATTATATATTTTGTTTGTTTTAACAAGCCTTGTTTAACTTACTGGGATCGAGTTTAGAAACAAGTAACATTATTTTGGAACCAACCGGAATGGAAAAAAACCAAAAAAACAGAAAACTAGTCGGCGTCCTAAAGCATAGCAACACTCGTTTCCCAAATGTGTGGATGTACCCCAATGATATCAATCATTTAAAATGTACAGTAACTCAGTTTCAAAGCAAATCTAAATTATAAATTATTATCGTTAATAAAAATACAATTTAATTATATATTATTTAGTGGGGTTCTTTTTTACGCCGTTTCAAATAAATAGCAAAAAATGTGGAAGAAAGTAAGAAAGTAGGAAATAAATTAAGTAAGGAAGCAAGAGAGAAAAAGAGAAAGAAAGAAATTAAGTAAGCAAGCAAGAAAGAAAGAGAGAAAGAAAGAAATATGGAAATAAAGAAAGAAAGAAAGAAGTTAAATCAAGAAACAAAATTTACTCTACTACAAAAATCAAGTTGAGTGCATCAGTTATATTAGTATCTATGAAATGACATCTTTCTTTGACACTCCGATTGTTGCGAAATGGATGGGATGTTGCCTAAGTCTTATCAATTGTCCATTTTAGTTGTATAGATGTACTGTGATCTCTGCGGCGTAAGCTTGATCAATAATTGTATTGACTTGTTTAGATGGCACTGTTGACTCTGGCGCAAAGCGTTTAGTAATTATGTGATAGACTTGAATATATTTTACTGTTATCAAGTGCCAAGTATTTCACATTTTCAACTGACAAACTAGCTTTGTTGATAATGATGATTGTCTGTTTCATCCTGTCCAAAAAAAAAGAAAGAAAAGATTATTAAATCTTAAGCTTACAAACCCAACTACAAAATGTTTTCACATAATAAAATGCGCAACCGTTACCTAGCAATGTCGATCCGGGGCTCTGAATGAAAGTCTAGAGATTTAAAAAAATCCATTTTTGTTTACGCCCCTGACCTATATTTATATTTTAACGACGCAGCAGCTTTTACACTGCAGATTTATGTAACGAACTGTTTCACCGAAAAAAACAAAAAAACAATAGAAAATATTAAGCACCTAACAAAATTTCGATTTTTTTTCTTCAAAAAAATCATTTGGTGAAGTTATCGGGAAATTTATTTCCTGAAATTAAATTATGACATCCTATTTCCTTCATATTCCCCTTAAAAAAACATAACAAAATTTTTGGGGGTGTGTTTAGTGATAAATATTTAACAGAATATGTTTTCATCGGCAACGCGTCTATGCCCCAAGGCTCAGCTCAATAAATTAACGGGAAGTGGGCCGATTACCTTTCAAAAAAGATTTTGCTACCCACGAACAAAAATGAAAAATTTATATTAAGGATTAAAAATGAACAACATGAACCCCATGCAGGCCTCACGCCTTGCAGCAGTCCGTCAACTATGCCACCCTGAGATGCCTTCCGCGACCCCTCGCTGCAACGACTCCGTGATAAAAACGACCAGAAGAAAGAAATGTCATTAGACAAAATCAAAATGTATGTTTGATAAACTACGACTCTGGGAGAATGATTCTCCTAAACATAATTCCAACAAAATCATTGTGATAATAATAACTATACCCTCAAAGAGGTAGTTAATCAAAATATTTTGAGCTTAGTGGGCTAAAACCTCTTTTTAAAAAAAAAATACGGGTCGCGTGCTGGAGAAAAAAAAAGTAGCCCTTGCAACCTGTGAAATATCCTCATCAACACTAGGCACAAAACATTGCAAATCCCCTGTACGTGCATAGGAGCAAAAATGATCAATAAATTGATCGTGGGCCCTTGGAGTGTAGAAGAAGAACCCCATCGTGTTTTGCTAAGTGTGAAGCTGGCCTGTGAACATTTATAATCAGTCTTTGAAATTATGACCTTCTATGTGTTGCCTTAATTAAGACACTGGTAAGTTCATTAATGGATTTAAAAGGACTATTTCTTCTACCTGGGGTTTAGCGGATGCTGGTGGCCGCGCTGAACATTGCGTACAACTTCACTCACAACTGCAAAATCTCTGAGGCGGTTCCTATCACAATCTGGATACTGCAAACGACTGCTGGCGTTGCGAGTGAAAACATCTTCACCGGAGAGTAGGCTTTCGTTTGTTTTCGGCAATTTCTCTGCGTCCTCACAGGAACGCACATCCGTGAGACTCTCAACACCTTCTGTCCTTACAGCTCCACTTCCCTGCGTGCTGTCAGCAGCAGCTTCTTTCAACCCACGTTTCAGCGTAGAGAGAATTCCACGGTGGCACGCGCACTTCCCAAACAACGGATCGTGTCGCTGCATCTCACCAACGACTGGTTCCCTGGCCCCAGCGCTGGACAGCAGGGCAATTATTGTTGAATGTTTTTGGTGTTTGGCGATCATCATCGCTGTTGTAATCATTTTTCACGTTAACATCTGCGCCGCATTGAATCAGGACCTCTACAGCCTTCGCTTGTTCAAAATAAACCGCTATATGCAGCGCAGTTATCGACACCAAAGTAGAATCTACCCCTACTGAAGAATGCGGATGTGTAACCACCATGTCGGCCAGTTCTGCGACTTCGGTTGTAAAGCAAAAGTGGTTAACTTTATTGACGTCACTTCCGTTGTGAATTAAAATCTTGATGGCTTCCACGTGTCCCTTGCACGATGCCAACGACAGTGCTGAATGTCCATCCTGATCACAGAAGTTGATGTCCACACCGAACTTACAGAGGGCATTGATCACTTGCGGGTGGTTGCTACTTGTTGCAAACAGCAATGCTCGGTTCTTACCTCTTTCAGCCCCGTTCGCCAACAACGTCTTCACGGTAAGAGTGTGTCCGTTTTGCGAGGCCATCATCAAGGCTGTGTGGTTCTTCTTATTCACCTGGTTAACGTCGGCGCCACGCTCGATCATTTTTATAACGCTGCCTGTGTGTCCTGCTCGAGATGAAAACATAAGGGGCGTGAAGCCTTGAAAATCTTGCTGGTTGACAACAGCGCCGTTACTCAACAGAATGTCTACTATTCTCCCGTTTGTCCCCGAGGCTGCCACCATTAACGGTGCAGTTCCGTTTGTCCTGTTAGGCCCCGTGCACGCTTGGTACTTAAGTAGTAAATCAACGGCGTCAATTAATCCATGTCGAATCGCAACAGAGAGAGCTGTATCGCCGTTATCATTTTCCTGGTTTATGTTTGCACCCCTCTTGAGTTTAAGTAAGGGCTCGACAAGATCTGTTTTACAATTCAGAAGGGCGATCATGACAGCTGTCGATCCAGAAGTGTTCACAGCGGCGGCATCAGCACCGTGTTGCAGAAGTGGTTCGACAAACCCAAGACCTCCGTATCGCGATGCGTACATCAAGGCCGACCACCCGATTCGATTCTGCACCCGAACATCAGCTTTGTTTTGGAGTAACGATTTTAAAACCGAAACGTGTCCATGAATACATGCAATCATCAGCGGCGTGGTGCCATCATTCCCGGGTATGTTCACGTCCACTTTGTGTTTGAGAAGGGCTTTCACTATTTTAGAATGGCCTTTGCTGCAAGCCAACATCAGTGGGGTCCAGCCATGTCTGTTTCTCTGGTTCACTGATGCGCGACTACTTAATAGTAATAGCGCCGTCACATGATCGCCATTGTCGCAAGCCAACATAAGGGCGGACATCCCTTTGCGATTGACGTGATTGACGTCTGCACCGTGTATGAGAAGAACGCCGACCACCCTTGAGTGACCTTGAACTGCGGCTTTCGTCAGCGCGGAGTCACCGTTGGCGTCCGAATGTTTGACGTGTGCCTTATGATGCAACAGTTGTTTAACGCTGTGGACTCGTCCATTCTCTGCACACAACAGCAGGGCGGTGCGTTTCTGTGCGTCCACCCAGTTAGCACAGGCGTCGGCGCGCAGCAGGAGTTTCATCTGTGATGAGTCGTCTCTGAGGCAGGCATTGAATAGCTCGGCACAAACGTCGCTGCACATGTGGTTTGCTGGGAACATGATAGTAGGTGACGACTAAAGCTGAAAAATAAAAATATCGAAATGATAAAATAGTTTTAAAATTTTGAGTACGTTGTTTGTCAAGGGTATATGTAAAAAACAATTTTAATATTTTAAAATATAATAATTTAAAAGTAGGGTCGTTTAAAATTTTAAAGGGAAACAAAATGGTCTTGTTATTGATTTTTTTTTTTTTGTGGGGGGGGGGGTTATAATCGGGCTATTAATCGCCCCCTTATACATATCTAAGCAATAAATATCACAGACGAAACTTCAATTGATTTTTCATTCTTTAATAAAGCTGATCGATAGTAGTTACATTCAAGAGTAGCCCCGAGAATAAATGCCCCCAGTGTTGGGTGTTGAATGTATTCATATTACTCGTGACCAAAAATCTTCTTTCACTGAACATATAAATATAAACTATAGGAAGGAGACCTTTTCGTACACTGGTTATATTATACATTACTGCAATGTTACCCCTTCGGGGAAGGGGGTGTTTGTTAGAATTACGACAGTTCTCTCTGATATATATTCAAATTTTATCATTTTGTTTCTTAAATTTCAATTATATTAAAACTCTAAAAGTCATTCATTGCAGGAACATTTCAAAAAAAATTTGTACAATCCTTTTGCTGCCCTCTCCGATAACTTGTCAGCTAAGGGCTATTCTTTAGTTGTTATTTTTATTCTGTTGCTCTGCTGTTTGTTCGCTAACGAACACTTCTGCCGACACGTTCGTTGTTCTCTGTCGCATTCCTTTTTTTCAGGTTTAACCTGACTTTGTTTTACTCATTTCCTATTTTTATAACCTGATTGCAGTGTCTCCCTTCGTTATCAAAAGAAAAGGAACATACATTTTGGAAGATACCAGACCATTACACATTTGAAGAGACCAAAGACGAAATTAAGTAAAGATATTTTTTGGTCTTTAAATTAAGGTGTTTGTTGGTTGTTTTGTTGTTGTTGATTATATTGTAATTTTGTGTTTGTCTTTTTATTTTTATTTTTTAAAGATATTGTTTAACTCAAGAAATTGGCATGTCACACTGCTTAATAGACACTCTTTTGCACCAATGGCCACATTTCAGGATATTGGTAGTAGGTATGTTTCTTTAGGCGGAAAACCAGAAATGAAATTACAAATTTAAGAAATAGCCCTATATATAAACACAAAATTAACTGTTTAAACCTCTCGCCACAGTTCAGGATAACGACCCCTTGGCATATTGATTTAGCAACCCTTAGATATGTTTCCTAAACTTTGGCTTCAACTCAGTGCCACCTTGTGTTTTGGAATGAACACCTTCTTCACCAAACTAGCGTGCATCCTTGACTAAAAAAAAGATAAGCCCTATTCAAATATCAAAACAGAATCAGACAAAAATCGAATATATCATTTGGAGCTGATGAACCATGTGAATAAAAAAGTAAGAATATGGCTTGTGTATGTATGAATAACTATACAAAAGAATGCAAAGGTCGATTATCTGATGATTCAATCAGAACTTACCTCTAGCTCTGCAAAGCGGAAGTTATTCTAGTCAAGTGTGAAAACATATGAAAACCATCTTATATTAACTGAGTAGTAAGGTGTGTTGTTTTTAAATTGTATATATTACCATATTTTTTATTGCTTTCTTCTGACTAATCAGTATTAGATAATGGAATGGATTGGATTGTGTTTATATATATATATATATTTTAACTTTCATACAAAGACAGCAGGGATCAACAATCTATGTTGGACTAACCTTATTCCATCATTATTGCCAATGGCTTTCTATTCAACGAATACTTTGATGGGTGAGCGAATTCATTTCAAATGTCTTTGGATCAGATGTAGAAAATATGTATTTTTAATAAGAAAAACACATACGTTTGTATAATATAAATGCATACTAAAAAGTGACGTAAACATATATTCAGCGATACACATATATATATAAATATATATATATATATATATA